CACCTTATTCGATAAGAGAAAACTTGAAAATATAACCTACTTCCAAGAAGAATTGAAGCTATGACATATAGCGAAGTAAGGCTCGCCCGGACCACTAGAGACAATGCAAACACTTTAACCCTTAAATCAAACTCTATATTCAATTAAATTAACGAAATTAGAAATTAAATTTTAAAAACTATAAAATATAAAAAATATTATATTTATCGATTGATTTAATATATCAAGCACTTTAACCTATATTCGTCTTGTAAACTCTTAAAAGATATATTCGTAATATACAACTTTTTATTTCATCAATAAAATTATAAGAATACGTCAATATTAACCGTTTATTTCATGTAGGATAAGAATATACTTAATTATATGTCTTTATTTCATATCATATTAAAAAAATTAAATTTTAAGTTACGTCTCAACCTAAAATAATGTATTTTTATCACATTTTCTGCAATCTACAAGATAATCTAAACTTGGATAGGAAATTATAATAAAGTTTCTCAACCCATAAAAGTTCAAATATTATTGGGTAAATTATACAAACCGTCTCCTAATTATAGAGTATTACATTGTTGAGTCCAAAACTATTAAAAGTTATAAAATAGTCCATGATTATAGGGGTTATTTTGTTGAGTCCATCAATTATTAAAAATTATAAAATGATCACCAACTATCATATATTCCAAACTCATCATGTTTCGTTAAAAAATTGATGGTCGTCTAAGTTGGATATTAACATGCTGACTCCAATATGATAGCCTTTTGAGATTCTAGAATCATATTTTATTATATCTCAATCAATAGGTTAACGTACAACTCAGATTGTCGTCAAATCTTTAACGAAAAATGACAAGTTTAGAGCATATGAATAGTCGAGTGACCATTTTGTAACTTTTAATAGTTAAGGAACTCAACAAAATAGTGTATTATAGTAGGGGACCATTTGTGTACTTTACCCCGTATTATTATAGATAAAATACAATTCATGAATTTTATTTGACATTTAAAGTTTACTAAAAATAATATAGGCGAAAATACATGATAATTTTTAATTACGTGGGTTGATAAAATCCTTTGAAAATACATAAACTAATTTATGGAAATAATATTCGGATCATTCTAATATTTGAATCGCTTTTTTTTTAATTAGAATAACCTCTTAACATATTCTTTTACTATTTTAGTAAAAATACTTCTAAATTCAACAAAGTTGGTTTAAGTGGTAAACAATTTGATATTGTTTAAGGAAGTTTTGAGTTCGGATTTTTTTGTATGCAGAAAATCCCCGCAGAGAAACTCACCAACCAAAATCAGGTGTACGACCTGGGTCGGTCCGAATTAGCTAAGATTAAATGAAATAAATTCATGTATTTGCAAGAAAAGTACAAAGGCAATGATAAATTTTTGGATTAAATCCATAATTATGGACACATATTTTTAATGTTTATTGTTATCATAAAATATGCCAGTTAAGTGATCAATTATGTTATAAAGTCGTAAAGTATTGGAAGTGTCATGAAAATAAAATTTTAGATACTATTAAAGTTGTATTTATAATTAAATGAGGGGTAGATTTATAACTACAAACAATAACTAATTCTTAAATCAACTATATAAGGATTTATGGTCCCCAAGAATATACAATCTCGTATTTACTTTTATCCCCGTCAAAGATTTTGTACTCAAGGGAACTTTATCTTCTTGAAAGATCACAACAAAAAAAGATTCACTCATTTTAACCTATCAATTAATTTAGGTATACTTCCGCATCTAGTATTTTATTGTTGATGATTTGACATGATTATATTCTGGTTTGATTTCATAATTCTTTGATTAATTAACGAGTATATATTTATAAAACTCTATTTAAACACTTTAAAAAACTTATACATAAACCACGTGAAATTTAAAAGAATAATGACAAAAACTTCTTGATCTTTTTGATCAGATTTGAATCGGTACAATAATCAAAAACAATTTTTGATATTGGGGCTTTGAATATTTCATAAGATAACAATTATCTTTGGCACATTCCATGTAATCATCTTGAATGACATAACATATGACTTGTTAATAATTCAACACATGTTGAAATTTTTGATCATTAATTAACTAATAATTTTCTTTCTATAGATAGAGGTTATTTCGATTAAAAATATAAATATTTAGAATTAAAATATGGGTAAAGTGTAGTAATGGTCACTGAATTTTTCTAAAGCTTTTATTTAGGTCCTCTAACTTTTAAAACTTACAATACAATCCCCCAACATTTAGTCCGTTTGCAATATGGTCCCCAACTGTTTGACGCCGTTACACTGTCGTTAGTACATTTGCAATATGGTCACTGAACTTTTCAAGTGCTTGCATTTAGGTCCCCCAACTTTTAAAACTTGCAACACAGTCTTAAATTTTATTATAAACCCTAAATTTCTTTTCGATCTCGAATTCCTTTTTCGTTTCTCTTTTCATTTCCAGCGTAACTTTTCAGTTGGGGATGCATGAGAAATTATAATCTAACTTTGAATTAAGTGGAGGTGTTGACTTGAATAAGGGTTCATTGAGAGAAGACCCGACTAAAGGACTATTGGGACCATCAACGATTCAAGGTGTAATGTTAGATACAGGTCATCTCATGTTAGATACATGTAATCTCAGGTGAAGCATAGATGTTCGATGAAATGCTTGTGAGAAAAAATGGGGTTAGAAATGCAGAGTTGACAAATACTACTAAGATGAACTAAATATCATTGTTGAAAGTCACCAACAGAGTTGGAATTATTTTGTATAAATGGCATATAATAATTTCTTCGTTTAATCATTGTGCTTAAAGATTTTCCAACAGATGATCAAATATAATGTAATCCCAAACAACGCATTCACCTCTCAGTCTCTTTCGCAACTCGAAAGGCATCATGACAGGGTCAAGTAGCTGCTCCAAATATACTATCATGTCATGATGACTTTCGAGTTGCGTGCATGCATAATTTATTCTAAAGCTATAATTCATACAATTCAACTGTAAAATTTCCAAAACATGTAAAAAAATTAATTCGTTCACGATATATCAGTCTCATAATCAACATGAACTTATTAAAAAGAATACGAGCTCACAGGACGCCAAAAACCACAGGTCAAATCAATACAATTCCCAATAAACTAGTACAAGCAGTCTTTCGGATTGAGCCTGGCGATTTCACTATGTCGCTACCCACAACCAATTCCCTATTTAAAGAAAAACCAAACAAGAATATAAAAAAAATTTAGCCTAGGATCATATTTCACTTCTATTCTGATGGACTGAATATCTTTTTTAAGGAGTACTAAAAGTTTTGATTAAGAAGAAAGAAAGAAAATTAGATAGTTTTGGTTCAAAACTAACACTGTATATCCAGATCATTGACATGCAGTTCTATAAACATAAAAATTTCAACAAAAACACACAATGTGAGCTTAAAATGAGAAAGTGCGAAAGAGGAAAAGCTTACTTCCGGATAGTGCAAAAGAAAAAATAAATACATTCTTGCAAGTAAAGGAAAGACTAAGAAATAAACGCAATCGGTGTTGCGTTCCATAAATTTTTCATCCATTTTTTCTTTGTAAATAAAAGCTGAAAGACAGAGCACTGCTTGGGTTTATAATTTTACAAGGCGGAAAATTGAAAAACAAAATCAAACGAGAGGTGGATGCGCTGTTTGAGATTTGATAATATTTGATCATCTGTTGGAAAATATTTAAGCACAAGGATTAAACGAAGAAATTATTATGTCATTTATACAAATAATTTTAGCTTTGTTGGTGACTTTCAGCAATGATATTTAGTTCATCTTAGTGGTATTTGTCAACTCTGCATTTTTAACCCAATTTTTTTCTCACAAGCATTTCATCGAACATCTATGCTTCACCTGAGATGACATGTATCTAACATTACACCTTGAATTGTTGATGGTTCCGATAGTCCTTGTTCGAATCTTCTCTCAATGAACCCTTATTCAAATCAACACCTCCACATAATTCAAAGTTAGATTAGAATTTCTCATGCATCCCCTACTGAAAAGTTACGGTGGAAATGAGAAGAAAGAAGCGAAAAAGGAAATTTGAGATCGAAAGGAATTAGGGTTTATAATGAAATTTAAGACTGTGTTGCAAGTTTTAAAAGTTGGAGAACCTAAATGCAACCGTCTGAAAAGTTTAGTGACCATATTGCAAACGTACTAACGGCAGTGTAACAACGTCAACCGACCGGGACTATATTGCAAACAGACTAAATGTTGGGGGATTGTATTGTAAGTTTTAAAAGTTAGGGGACCTAAATGAAAGCTTTAGAAAAGTTCAGTGACCATTACTATACTTTACCCTTAAAATATTGAAAAAATTAAAATAACCATAGTGGAGCTAATTTTAACATTAAGCTTTTTTGTTATTATTATTAGGTCCATCCAAAACAGCTCCGTTCATCCTTATAAGCGGAAAACAAAGGTGAAATGCGTTCAATGTTGAAGAAAGAATGGGCAATGAATTTGTTTCTTGCAGCTTCCTCCTCCTACTTTTGTCTCGGTAAGATAGAGTATTTTGGGTCAAAACTTTTAAATTATCGTATAATTTAAATATTTTTTTACAAATTTTATTTTTTGTTACCATGATTCAACTTTTTGACAGCTTGCTCCCCGTGTAACTTCGAATGGGGCCGATGTTCTACGACTTCACAGCATGGATTCCGACGATAACCATAGCGGTGGAGAAAAAAACGGACGCGGTTCATCATCCGGCGGCGGCTGGGCCGTGAGCATGGATGATCCGAATGATCCTGCAGTCCAAGTGTTCGCCCTCATCAAAGATCTTGTTGTTGGGAAAACAATGCCAATCTACTTCCCCTACATAAAGGATCCAACTTCGTTTCAGTTCTTCCCTAAAGAAAAACAACACATCCCTTCTCGTCGGAGGCGATCCCGGAGCTTCTCCGGTTCTTCTCCTTCTCACCGGACTCAAAGCAAGCCTTGGGGATGAGGCAAACACTCGAGGTTTGCGAGAAGGAACCGAAAGAAGGAGAGGTCCGAGGGTGTGCGACCAATGTAGAATCACTAGCTGATTTTGCACGAGGCATCTTGGGATCAGACTCGAAAGTCGAAATTCTAAGATCGTCTCTGCTTTCGAACCCATCGACTCCACTAGTCCAAAACTACACCATACTCGAGTTCGCGGAGATGTCGACCGGGGATATCGTGCCGTGCCACAGCGAGCCGTATCCGTATCCAGTGTACTACTGCCACTTCCAACTGGGAGCAGAGAGCAAAGTGTTCAAGGTTCACTTGAGAGGTGAGAACGGTGAGATGATCGACTCGGCGTTTCTGTGTCACATGGATACATCGACATGGCGGCCCGGCCATGTCGCTTTCCGTCTTCTCGGAGTCAAGGCCGGGGACACCGAAGTGTGCCACTTCATGGCGGCACACGATCTAGCTATGTTTCCTGTTCCGAAGTAAGAAAAAAAGCTTGCATCGCAATGCATGTACTGGAAATAAAATTAAAATAAAAAGTAGTAGTACTACTTAATCTCGAATTAAGTGAAAATATACTCCACATTAGGTAAAAGGTGGTAATTTATCTACTAGGAGAATGGTTAAAGTATCTCTGTCAATATATAAACCTATTATACCTACCAAATGGAAGGGTAAATTTAGTTTTATTTCTAACTTAAGCTTCAGTAACTTCTACCGGTGGTTCATGAAACAGACGGTTGCTCGAGAAACGCGACCGAGCCAGTGCAGCCAAACCATCCGCCACCCCGTTAAATTCACGCGGTGCATAGCTAAAAATTAAATGCCTACTGCATCTAGTAAACTTAAGGATGTGTTGTCACTGACGAAAATCCGCTCGAACCCGGAGAATATTCAAGTATAGATAATGCAGTCCTACAATCCGTTTCCACAATAACCTTATAGAAATTCAAGTCTCCATATAGTCGAGAGTCCTTCAAAAATGGCTCCTTGTTTCGCATCTAGTGGGGAGGAAGCTCCGATGGCTTCGACAAATCCCACGATCCAATTTTCTCCCGAATCTCTTAACAACCCACCACGTCTTCCATCAAAATAAAAACATCTACATAAATTCGTTCATTTCTCCACTTAGTTTCAAAAAGTCGATAAACGAAGATCTAGGAAACCCTCGAAGTAGAAATAATGTGAATGCATCATTTTACTGAATAATTCCCACAAATTAACACAAACTTTGATTGCAGCTTCTGTGATAGAGATTCTCCAGTTCAAGGATTTCAATCACGGTTGTGGCCACGTTTTTTGTTGTTTTTATCGCGATTGCAGACATAATAGATGTTGTTGTACTAATTACGAATACCGCGATCGTGCAATAACAGTTTCAGATGATACCGTTATCGTTATATAAGACCACTATTCTAGTAACGGGCCGCTGTTTAAAAAAAAAACTCAAATAATAACCCATGCTATACCCAAGTGTGGCTGGAGCAGATTCTACTTTAATATATGATGCTTTTTTTTAAGAGAATGAGAGGTCTGTTTAATATCAAACTATTACATCTTAGGCTCTAAATTTGTTTATTTATTACCTCTTCTGATTTAGGTAGAGAATAACAGTCGATGATTTTAAGAAGAGAGTGAGTTAAGGACAATAAGTGTTGTTTGGTTCAGGAAGAGATATCCAGAGAAAGAATGTTGGAAAATATACTGTTGTAAATAAGACATTAGCACTAATCGGAAAATATTAAATAAAATAATCAAATAGGAACATAAGCGTGTCGTGATATTAACCACTGTCTTAGAAGCGAATTCGTCATGATGTATGTAATCGCTACAATGAACGAATGGCCTCTCGAGGTTAGCACGACTCTCCAAAATTCGTACGCCCGAAAGATGAAGTGGACTTTGGTGGTACTACTCTTAACTCAATAAAACAACACTCATAATATGTTTTTGAAACTCAAAGAGAGTGTTTCTAAAGCAAACATTTGCTTAAGGATGATCTCTCAAGAGTGAAATTGCCCACTACTTATAAGCTAAATAGTGAGAGCAAAAACATCATTTCTAATGCACAAATTAAAATTATTTAGAATGGAATTAAATGTCATTATGAAATGAATTACATTTAAGAATACTCATTTTGTCTTGCATGGGGTTTATAAAGACCCTGGTGCTTTTGGTTCACGGAATGTAAGATTACCAGTGGGAATAAAAGATTACCAGAGAATAAGATTACTGCGAATGTTGTATTTTGTGTTTGGTTGGTTTAGCAGGAATGTAAGATTACCGTGTTTGGTTAAAGGAATAAAAGATTATGGAATGTATATTTGACCAAATTGTCCTTATTATATATTTGTATAATATTACAAATTGTAAAATATTTATATATTTTCTTTAAAAAATTAAATTCATAATATTTATATAATTTTTTTTACAAAATTAAAAATATAAAAAGGTTTAATGAAAGGGTAACTTTTTTTAACCCCTGAACTTCATATAAAATTTTAATTATAGACTTTTTTTGTAAATTTAAAATAATTTAAGGATAATTTGTAATTTAACATTCGTAGAATTTTTATTATTCAATGACAGAAGAAGGATATTTTAGAAAAAATAAAAATTTAAGGGCATTTTAGTCCAAAACGCCGGTAATGTTACAATACCTAAGGGAAGGGAGGTAATGACATTCCCGGTAATATACCCAAAAAAATCTACTATTGGTAATAAAACATTACCGGGAATGAGATTCCCGGCCAACCAAACATGGGAATGTGGGATTCCCATCCCATGAGAATCTCACAATCCTTGAACCAAACACCCTCTTAGAGTTGGTGTCAAACCTAGGATTATGATGATTACTCATAAGTCAATAGGTTGAATAGATATAGCCGTTTGACAATGGATTTGGTTATGACACATCACGTGGATCTGTTGTAAGTCATATCAAAGGATTATGACCAAGTAAATAATATGTGTCTTCGGAAGATTTGATCAACGAAGGAATTCTCCCAGAGGTTTATTTAGGCAAAAGACTGATCACGAAGACGATTTACGAAAGAGATTAGAGAAGATATAACATAACTTAAATATAGAAATTGCAAATGCTGCTCATAATGGGTTGATCTTCTTGGATGCAAGTTTTGGTTGCAAATATTCAGCCATGTCTTGAAGCTTAGCATCTTGTATTGATTAAAAACAAATTGCTACTGCTACAGGGTTATTCCAAGTTTGGGAACAGGTTGCATGTGCTGAACTTTGCTAGTAACTTCTTCATTTTCATCTTTTCTTTGGGGTGCTCATGTCATCTGCTTATCAGCTTGTTCTTCGTATAAATGTCATGATTAAATACATGCCCCCATCCCAAATGATGCAGAGATTTTGTGCTACTTTTTAAAACGAGTCTCCTAAAATATTTTATACTAATAAAGATTAATTTGTTAAATTTAAAATGATGAATCTACGAGGTTTTTTTATTTATTAAAATTCATTACGAAAAACGACGAAGATACTGTTAAAATCTTCGTTGATGACTTTTTCTACTATTTTCCTTAGAACTAAACAAAAAGTTTATTTTTCCTTTGAACGAAAATGTCTTTAGGGTACAAATGTATATATAGACAACCTAATTGAAATTTATGTTTGAAGTCCCTAAATTTTGAGACCTTACGATGGATCACATGTTACCGTACTTGTCATTGGACAAGCCGAACTAAACAAATTAAGATAATCTCGTTATTCACTTATGTTTAACCTTGTGGTTGTGGGATCGAGTCCCACGGTGGGCAATTCATAATTGCCGGAGATCTTCTACGGAAGTTGCTCTCAACCTAGTATTGAGGCAGCCTACTACCCTACCTCCCCTTACCCCATTATATAGAGAATAGAGTCAGCTAATTTTTTTTTCCGTTATTCACTCAACTTCTTAATATGATCGTTGTCAATTTGTTATCAGTTTATATATATCTGGTAACTATATCTATCCACCTACCAATCCATCAATAGCCACCAACCCTAGTATCGCACCAATCACCCTATCTTCCAGTGTCAAGGACATATTACTGGCATAAGCAAGACTAAAAGAGAGCTTTAATCTCACACCCATTGTTTAGTACGCAGCAATCGCTACAATAAATTAGAGTATCTTACAAAAACCGATATTCAGTCAAACAGACTCTACTCTATATAAGTCTATCTATAAGTGAAGAACATTAGTGAGTGTTATTGTAGTCATTGTCGGTATCACGGTTGTACGCTAATATATCGAACAACACCTTTATCACTGTATAACGATCGTTATTCCGATATCAGATCTTATTTAATTCCTATCACCACCCCACTGGTAATCATCCCAAACCGCCACAACCTCCGCTGGTTCCGTCTAGGGGATCTCTAATGCGACGCCGTCGATCGGAAAAAACTACGCTGGTAAGCAAAAATCGAATCTTTGAACACCTCAACGGAGCCTCAATACGAAAGAGGCTAAATCAAATATAATTGGTTAAATGACACCATAAATCTCTCAATTATTAATAACATTAGAAATGATTTATCGAATTTTAAAACGTTATAGAATAATTATTCTATTGATTGATGGTAACAAATAAACCCTTTTTTTCATGAAATATATAACATACGTTAAATTTTTAATTAGACAAGAGTAAAACTAGATTCGATTCAAAAAATAACTCGAATTTCATATATTCGAATTGACTTAAAAAATTTCAAATAAAGTTTGATAAAATATGACTTGTCAACTCGAAAAATTTTAATTTGAATACTCACCCTAATTCTTCGATCATTTTAAGTATATTTTGAACAAATTTGAATCACATACTCCTTTAACACTATATATCAATTTAACTTCAATTCTTATTTTTAATAACAAATTTTAATTTTAATTTTTTACGATTACAGTTAGATTTAAGTTTAGTTGTGTAAAT